AAACCGACAACATGTACCCTCTCGAGGAATTTGGCGAAATATTATCACGAGGAATGAAGAATACCTCTCTGGAGAGGGGTATATCAACTTACTAAGATGAAAAACAAGGCCTGTACAATTCAATGACAATTCAACGACAACGACTGGGGTGTATTGACTGATCATATGGTATAAATCATGCTTTCAAAAAGAAAATCTACAATCAAGGTATAATATTACATAAACAACATACCTGTGGTATCTTTTCTCTGTGTTAATACTCCTTCAATGATATCCAGTTTTTGTTTCACTTCACTCATTTCATGTTTAACCTCACTTTCAAGAAACAGATAGAAGTCACTTCTCAGACGATTGATTTCTTCATTAAGTTTTTCTACTTCTTTTGTGGGAAAATCCGACTCTTTCATGTTGCTAATTCTCTCCAGAGATGTCGTGCTAAAATTCAAAGCGGTGAACGCGTCTTTGGCGTGCTTTACATAGTCATCGAACGTGACTTTATTAATTTGAGGACTGGATGTATGACAAAGAGTGTTTCGTAAAAGACGAAGCTGATCAATGGCAAGCGCAATCGTCTCATTTGCATGTCCGCTCGAGCTGCACACGGCAGAGTGGAATGGAGTAGGGACTGGCTTTCGTCCTTTTAAAAACATTTCTCCAAGCGTCTTTTTCTTTCCTGTGCTGTCTGGTAGCGCAAATGTTCTTGCATACAGAGTGGCTTGAAATAGTGCAGTGCAGTCCCACTCTTTAAATGAGTTGTTCGTGGGGATTTTTGTGCTTGGAACCTCATTGTTGTGGAGTATACTGCGTACAAGAGGCGAGTCATCCCAAACTGTGGAACTTGGTGCAACTCTGCTGTCCCACATATCTACAAAGATGCTACGCAAAGCATCTGGGAATTCTTTTACGACAATCGACGCAAACTTGAAGTAGTTCAGCTCTTCATCAGAATATGGCTGCATAGACATGTTTTCTGACTTTCTGAGGAAAAATGACACAGAAAAAGAGAACATGAAAAAGCTGATACAAGGAAAAGCATCGATCAGACACATATTCACAGCAAACACGTCTCACTAGTAAATTTAATGAACGTAACTTAAAGAGGTTAGAATTTACGACACAATGTTTCGAAACTCCGGTTGGGTTGGGCGATGTTTAAAAATCATATCATGGTTTTCGTCTAGGAAATTATCATGATATTCGATAATATAGCGATAAATGTATTAAAAACAATGACCGTAGTTTCAATTTTCAATTTCAGATAGTATACAGTAAAATCTAATAAGATACACCAGTTCATATCTTATTTATAAAGATCAAATTTTATTTCGTCATTGCATAAAGCTGTCCACTGTAATAGTGGCAAAGCTGGAAAAAATAAAGGAACGATGTACACATGCCAAACAATATAGTGATTGATCATTACGATATATAATCACTCATGTTTGATAATTACGATATACGATCACTCACGATTAAAATATTTCAAGACAATTAAATTTTTATATTTTATATGGGATTTCTATAGTGTCATTTTAAACTGCCAACTTCAAACAAACAGAACTACGTCGAAATAAATTTCATTGCATTTTAAAAGGACTTGCTAATCAATTCAAGAGTTCAGTCATTGTTCGTGGAAAGACGTTGGAGATGATAGAAATCAGTGTGTAATGATGTAATAGTTTATTTCGGTTTGCAACAGTTTATACTACATTCAAAAACTCGCCAATAATTCAGGAGGATAACACAAAAAAAATCTTAAGCGTGTCGTATCTTTATATGTGATAAAAATTCATGTTAATTTACATAAACTTTAGCTTTGATTTTCTTGGTTTAGGCAAAGTTTATTTTAAAAATTACTTCGCCAATGAACTCATATAAGATGAGTCGTTTTTTAAGCCATTTAAAGCACTTGTATAGTCAACGTGTTTTATCAGATATAAACTGCGCGTGCTTTAAATGGTACTTAAATTAAACTACAGTTGCACTTCACTTTGGAATTCACAGAAATATTATCAATGTCGTTCCCCGAGCCTACGATCTTCGGGAAGGAACGTGAGATAATCCGTTGCCGGAAGCCACGTTAAGACTGAACTGGGCATTTCATATCAACGGCCAATCATATTTCTCCCTGAAACAGATTATCCCAGAGCCTCACGTTCCTTCCCGAGGATCGCAGGCTCGGGGAACGAGATTGAAATATTATATGTTATGAATCATTTTTTCTTTTTAGTCGCTGGGGCCTGGGGCGGGCGACTATAGGCTTGCCTTTCAGTTTTTCTACTCTTTTTTTCAGCCACGAATCGAGAAATTACGTAATCTTTCAGCTACAAATCGATCAACCTCGTACCCAGGGCTAGTCGCGAATTGAAGGCGGCGACATAGCCCTGGTAAACGCTGGTCACGTGTCAGGCAAATACTCCAAGATTCTTGGAATATTAGCCTGCGAGCGGGCTTTGTGGAAATAAAGACAGGGGGGCGACGAAAAGTTCACGAATGGAACTTGAATTGCCGCGGATTATTTATATTCTTTT